ATACAAATGAAATAAATTGAGAGATGAAGGAAAATAAAGTAAAACTCAAAACAAAATTAAATGATAATTCTGACCTATTTTTTTTATTTTGCACTCCCATGCATTTGTACTAGTGCAAATAAAATTGCACTGAAACCAAACACAGCCTTAGGGACTTACAGTAACGTTGAATAGACAATGTTTAGATTGTCCAAAGAATCTGCAGAACCATTTTAGAAGGAAAGATGATAAGCAATAAAAAAAAGAATGAAAACGTTATACTTACCAAGTGGTGTCCCGTCCTCCACAACTGCAAGTAAAAGGTTGCAATCCACACAGATCAAAGATTTTCAGGATCCCAGTTTCCATCACTTTTAAGACGATAGTTAACAATCTTTCCTCCACTAATGAAGGAAATATGTTCGACCAACGGACGATCTTCCCCACCATCTCGAAGCTTTGTCACAATTTCCTCAGGCATTCCTTCCAGAATCAGTTCTTTGAGTTGCTTTAGATAAATTATACCAACTGGTACGCATTTCAAGTTCTTGCAACTCCTCATGTTCATCTTCTCAAGGCTTGGCATGGCACCAACTTGCACTTCAATCTCATTCAAATTATCTAATTGAAGGAATTCCAGTACCTTAAGCTTTCGAAACTTTCCTTTCTGGAAACATAATTTTTGCCCAATATAAGCGTCCATCAATTGGAGTTCCAGTAGCTCAGGCAAAGCCTCAAGGGCTCCCAATGGGCTACCACTTAATTTTGACCACTTCAGACGTAATTTAACCAAGCTTTCAAGCAAGGAAATCCAATTAGGCGACTCCTGTAGACGCCCTTTTAGATATAGACGTTGAAGTGGCAGTGGACGAGTAGTAGTGGCGAAATCCTGCAAATCCAGAATCTCATCCTCATCTGTTGATTTCACATCCAAGGAGCGAAGCTTTGGCAATTGTCCATTGGAGTGGCACAAATCCTTACCATTCTCACTTTTCAGATCAATTGTTCCCAATTTCCTTAGTTGAGTCAAGCTTCTCAGTTCCGTAATTATCTTGGTGTTCTTGCTTGCTTTGACAAATGACAACTTCTGCAACGCACTCAAATCCTTGATTCCTGGAAGAACTTCCAACCCTTCAACACAATCAAAGTCTAATAAATTCTGCATCTTGTAACTATAAACAAGAAGGTGGCGCAGGCGTTGAAGCTTGAAGATCTCCACAGGCAACCTAGAAACCTTTTTATGTTTAAGATCCAAGGTTTCTAGGTTTAGAAGCTTACCAACAGCTTTCGGTACCTCACTAACTGTTTTATTTCTCAAGCTTCGATACCTTAGTCTATGTAAGATTTCAATTTCTTCAGGAAATTTCTCTATCGGTGCGTCTTCCAAATCTAAAACCCTTAATGATTGAAATCTGGAAAGAACGGTATGCCCAGATGAGTCTAACAAGCAGGTACACCGAACACCAGAAGAGAGCGTGTGTAGTGAAAGCTCATGTTATTGGTTACACTGCTGCAGTTTTTGTGGGTGGTTAGGCGACGAAACTTGTCCATATCTTGCCCATCTATATTGCTGTTCAGTTGGGGAAGGACCAGACTGAAGTTCTCCTCCTTGCATTTCTGAAGAAGGACCAGGTGCATAACTGGATGTGGACGACACATTTTGGGCCGACCATCAACATCTCTTTCCACTGCCTGAACCAAGTCTATAGAGATGAGGTTGGTTAGGTAGTCATCAGCAACCTCCTCTGATGTTCGGTTGTTCTTGGGCTGCACAAATCCTTGGGCAATCCATAGTCGGATCAGCTGTGTACGTCTGACAGGAAGGTGATCAGGTGGGAAGACGCCAAAATACAGGAAGCAATATATAAGCTGGAAAGGAAGATGGGTGTAGCTCAGTTCTAGAGTCAATGCCATACTTCTAAGCATGAGATCGCTTTGTAAGTATGAAGAAATCCCATCTAGCAGTTTCTGCCAATTTTCAATGGGTTTTTCTTTCACAGTGTTTATGGACAAGAACTCATCAATGGCTGTTATTGCTAGAGGCAATCCTCTACATAATTTCTTATTACAATTCT